AAGACAAATTTAATTCAGAATCAATGGACATCAGAAGATGCACAGTTTTCATCTAGTGGGTCCAAGTTTTTATTACACACTGCATTTTTAAGACAATGTTAATTTAAGCCAGCTCATTTCCAAAGTCCCTTTCTCCACCATGATCTGGTCATTGACTAAACCACTCTGCTTTTTCCAATGTCACCCACCCTGGAATCTTTTTCCTTTCTTGATCCCTAAGTTAAGGCCTTTCATCCAGTTTGGTTAAGTGCTTGAAGGCCTCATGGTTCTGTGAAGTCACTGGAAGAGTGAATGGTTTTTGCCATCTGGTACATGGGGTCACCATTTGGGTCATTTGGGAGATGGTTTCTCCAGAAGTCATTAGGTGCTGCTAAATGTGGTAAACATTATCTCACTACATGGCAGCGAATCTGAGTCATGCATAGGATTCCTCTTGTTTCACTTTCTCAGCAAGGTCTTGACCTTGCCAGAGGCTCACTGATTATTCACACTTCATTCAGGCTTCTCCAGTCTGTGTCTAGGGCCTCTCTTTTCCTTTCGCTGCTGCTATCTAAATATCATCTTTGAATGGAAGCCACAGAGGAAACCCATGTGAGTATTCCTAGACCTTCAAATGTGGAACACTTTCTGAAAAAGATTTTCCAGATTAAATTTGTTCTAAATCTTCAGAAGGTAGAAGGTCTAGAGTTGCCTATGCCTTCATGGCCATCTCCCCTCTCACTGATAAACTGGGCCTATCAGTGTTTCCTGTAGAAGTCCTCGCCTACTAAAAGCCCTGATGAATCTGGTACTGAGATCCTAAGATCCTTTCAGCAAGGACTGCTGTGCCTGTCCTCTGTATTCCTCAGTGTGAGCAGCACAATGCTTTACACACAAGGCTTCAGCAACTGCATTCATTGAGTTTAACTAATTCAAAACCCAAGTTCTATAGACAAAGAGTTTACATTTTATGTGTATGGGTAGAACAAAAAGGAAAGCAAAGCAGGAATGTCAGCTTGTTCTCTTCTGAAGAGCACAAAGCCAGTGTGAATTGACCTTTTGAGAATTTAAAAAATTGAGACTTTTAGACATGCATTCCCCATTCTGTTTATGCTACCATCATAGAAATTGCTTAAATTCTTCCCAATCTATTTGATTTTAAATTTGAGGACAAAACCACAAGGACTTCAGTTATAAAAATAAGGAAAGTATTGAATTCACGTTGATGGGAGAAGGAATGACGTACTTACTGGAACAGTACCTCAATGAACTTATACATCTTATTGACCTTGCCTCGATTTCTCCACTTACCAGCACATAGTCAGGAACTACAGATGTTATTAGCTTCATCTGCAGCCCTGGGCAGTGAGGATTGCTCTCAACCACCCAGGAGCCCAGAGGTTGATAATATTCTGAGAGCTCAGGATTCGTAACCCCGAGACAGGCCATTTAGCTGTTGGAAACAAACAAAAGAAGGATCGACACAAGCATTGATGTATTCCCACAGAGCAATGGCTGCTTCCTTCAATGAGCCCACTGTCACTTATCTTAACTGCTGGTTACCTGGTCTCAGAACACTCTGAATGCTAGGATAAGGTTTGATTTGTCTCCTTCTGCACAATTCCTAGCTCAGGACCAAGTACTGAAGAGAGTCTTGATTGGGTTCATTTAATGGAACCATAAAAGTGGCTGCCAACCCATAATCACTGCAAGCATTTTCCCACCCAAATGTCCTGCTCGAGATGCTCTTCTTTCTCCTTGGATGCAACCAGTGCCCCTCGTGACATGGAAGCCTGCCCTACACCATCCATGCCCTATGACATTCAATGACTCAAGCTCTGATGAACATGCTACTGCTCTCAGGGATTCCTCTGCTTGTCACCTTGTCACTAGGAACAAAAGTCTTTGATCTAACCAGTCACATTTCATGCTGTCACAAGAGCCCACTTCTGAGTAGCTATCCACATTTGTTGAAAATGCTTATGTTTTCTCACTCAGTGTTTTGACTTCCTCAAGAGATTGAAGGAAATATTTCTTTCAATCTTACTGAAATTTAGACCCCCATGAGAGAAATTAAGCAACTAACAAATATGTGAGAGAAAGAGCGTCTGAGTCTTTCTCAACTGAAGACACTACTAATCTCACTCATTCTGAAGCACAAGTTACCTTAACTTGGACCTACTTAAACAGAACAGAGCCATTCACGGTACAAAGGGAGGTTTGCATCTTCTCCAAACCTTGCTTATTCCCTGTAAACTCATGCTCGCTTGGTGAGCATTCTCTGAGGGCAGCCCCAGACCCAGGCCCTGGGATCTGGAACAGGGTCTCATTCTGGGGGAGAGAAGAGAGGTGAAGAGGCTAATAAAAGAATTACAATGCCTTTATTTATGCATTTATGTATTTATTTATTTATTTATTTATTTTTGAGACAGAGTCTTGCTATGCAGTTCAGGCTGGGCTTTAACTCACTAGGTAGCCAGGGCTAGACTCAAACACATAGCAATCCTCCTGCCCTACACCTTCCCCCTCTTGGAGCTGCTGCTTCCAGGTGATTGAACCTGCTCCGAGTCCACACAGTGTAGCCCCTTGGCCAGGCTGACAAGTCACTGTGGATTTCCTTGCTCTCCCAGAACACGCTGCTCAGGTCGGGCTGTTCCTTAAGGGACTGGAAGATGTCAAGCCTTTCTCAGCTTCTAAAGTTGCTGATTCCAACCTATTCTTACTCTGTCTTCTTCACATTCTACCTACTCCACCATTACCTTTCTCTACTCTGGAGCACTTTCAGCCTGCAGACTTGTTGTCTTCCTTTCCTCCATCTGCTCTTTCCACTTTGGTTTCTCAGGACATGGACACAGCTCAGGCTCCTGTAAGAGACACATAGCATAGGAAACAATATCAGGTTTTAACTGAGTTCACACAGCACACCAAACACACATGTCAGTTCTTGAAGAGGAAAGTAAGATGGAAAGTCCAAGAGAGGTACAATAAGATCCTTATCTTAGGGATGAAAAAGCTGAGACCCATGAAAGGTAACAGTTTCCCAAGTCCTCATATGCCTTGATGAGAGCAGAACCACTGCACAAGACTTGGCCTTAAACTTTCTCATGTAAGACTCCTAACTTACTCTCTAAGAACTGGTGTGCTAGATTAGAGGACATTTGATCACACATAGCTATTTCTTTTTTTCTTTTTCTTTTTTTTGCGGAACCAGGGATTGAACTCAGGCCCTTGCGCTTGCCAGGGAAGTGCTTATTCTACTGAGCCATCTTCCCAGCCCCACACATAGCTATTTCTAAAGGTAAAAAATGTATGCCAGGGATGGGGGAGAGAAAAGAGGTGAAGGGGCTAATTAAAGAATTACAATGCTTTTATTTATGCATTTATGTATGTATGTATGTATTTATTTTTGAGACAGAGTCTTGCTATGCAGTTCAGGCTGGGCTTTAACTCACTAGGTAGCCAGGGCTAGCCTCAAACACATAGCAATCCTCCTGCCCTAGCCTCCTGAGTGGTGAGATTACAGATGTGCACCACTGTGCCTGGCACAATGTGTTATTTATGTGTGTCAACTCCCCAGGGCAAATGTACTATATACTGCAAACTTGTACTAATAAAAAATTAAAATAAAATAAAATTTAAAATTATATCAGAAAAATGCTTTCTGGGACAATCTTTGAGCACAGTTCTATAGTCATAATCAGTTTTCAATCAATAGTTGGTACAGTGAGAAGGAATAGAAGTAAGTACTATATAGAATTATCTCCATAAGTAAATACATTTCTAGCTTCTATACTACAGATGTACCCTCAAAGAGCAGAGGGTCAGTCTCCTCACACCTTACCTTTGGTGTCACTTACAGCTGCTATAGAAAAACTGTTTGATGAACCCTGTACTCTCAAGGGAACACATTTATTGAAAGTAGAAATGAAAACACAGCCTTAGCAACAATGACCTAAAATGATGTGAATACCAGCTCCACATCCTCACATAGGCTGAA